GGTTAAGACCTTCACTTCTTAAGATACAAGAAGTGAGTTTCTTACCCACGAAAGCTTATGCTCCCAGTACTTCTGTTAGTCTCTAAGTAGATATGTTACAATGCTCCAACCCCACAAAGCACTTGAAGTAACTTCTACTCTGCATTCAGTACCAAAGAGCAGGTAATACAAACAACTGTGCAGCCAGGAGGAAGAGAAAGGATTAGGGTTCTACTGAGGTAAGTGGTCAGCTTCTGCCGCATGTCACAGAGAGGCATATGATCAACAAATATGTAGCAGCGAGGCACACCTGGCAAGCTAATAAATATCTGCTGTTTAACGCACTGTGGGGAGACTGGGATACAGTATGCTAAAATGGCTGCCAGAAAACATCTGTTGCACACAATAGGGTACGGAACCCAGGTGCATGTGAGCACTGAGGTTAAACCGTGTGGTTAGGAGATGTTTGCCGTGTGGTTAGGAGATGTCTGTACCTTTGGACGCTGTCAGGCATGTTGCTCCCAGATCTCCCCGTGAGCTGCAAGCACCAAAGAACTTGCAATTGCTGCAGTGAGGTAACTAGGTTCAGGCAGACTCTTGGAGTTTCTGAATACCATTTCTGGGTACTGCTGGGTGCTACCATGCATGTCCCTACCTTCCCAACCCCTGCCTTTTAAGGGAGGTGCCAATGCTTCAAGCCAAATTGGTGTTTTTTGCCTTTTGCTTTGGTGCACAGGCTCCCACAAGGGAAGTTATTTCTTGTGCAGATCTTGTAACTCTGGGTCAGCCTCTGGAGTAAATTTTTCTCTGACTCAGACCTACATGTAAGCACACTCACTGTCCTGCTTGCACAGCCATGAGTGATTCACTCTTTGCTGAACTTGGGCACATTTATTCCCCTTGGAAAACATGTGCATTAGCACTGGTCCACTAAATGCACAGCCACTCTGTCTTTAAAAAAAAACACACAGATGAACTGGATTAGTGATGTTTAAGAATTAATATCAGTGGGCCAAATCCTGAGAGCTCCAGCTCCTCCTGACATCAATGTATGAACTGATGTATCTCAGCAACAGAATTAAGCCAATGAAAGTTAACGTTAGTTTCTCACACATACTGCATCACTGGTATTCTTCTAGCAATTGCCAATACCTGATGCTTCAATGGAAGAGGAAATTCACCCACCATGAAGCAAGCCAAATGTGTCAGAGATACACGTGTTGGTAAAAATCCCCCCTGACCTTTTATAGCTTATGTCCTGAAGTATAAGATTTAATTACACTTACCCTGGCATAGATAAAAAGTGTATCTTAATGATGATCTTGCTCAAGGAATTGAAATTTAGCAAAACATTTTAAAGATTACCTGAAAAAATGGGTTTGTGCCTTTGTTTTGTTTCTTTAGGCCTGATAAAAAATAATCTGCTTGTTTGCCACACTAGAAGGGCAGCTCTTATTATTTTTATTTTTCCTGGAAGATTCTATATATGACTGGAGAACTAATAGGACTATGACATAACAAGCAGAAAGGAAGTGAAACCTAACAAACTGAAAGGAGAAGTGATTTTTTTTGGTCAGGCTGTTTACCATCCTTCATTGGTTCTTTTTTACTATTCTAACTCAAACACCCAAACCACACGTGGGAGAAAAAACGTTCATAGTTAAAGGCTCAAACTTCAATTAAGGTGTGAGAATGCTCCTACTACAGGTCTCTGGTCCTCCAAGGAAACTCCAGCAAAAAACAAACAGAGAAGGTAAGTCTTGATACTACTGATCTTTCTGCAGTTTAAACAAGCAGAATATTTTTAAAAAATAGAATCAAATTTTTCATTTTTGAAGGTGGCCTGCAGAAAAAAAAGCACAAATCCAATTTTTCATTTTTTCCTCTGCAGGCCACCTTCAAAATGTTCAGACACTAAATTGTAATTAGATACACCTCTACCCCGATATAACGCTGTCCTCGGGAGCCAAAAAATCTTACCGTGTTATAGGTGAAACCGCGTTATATTGAACTTGCTTTGATCAGCCGGAGTGCGCAGCCCCGCCCCCCCAGAGCACTGCTTTACCGCGTTATAGCCGAATTCTTGTTATATCGGGTCGCGTTATATCGGGGTAGAGGTGTACTACAGTATTACATGGGTTTACAGTTATATACAGAAGCAAAGTGGTAGGAAATACTAAGTAAGCTGGACTCTCTCCCCAACATGGAAACTGCAGTCAGGAAAGCAATGCATTGTTAACAGGTACAAAATGAAGTGTTCTTTCAAAAAAGTATATTATGGTGTTCAATAAAGAAGAGAGTTAGAACTGCATAAGAGAGCATTCTCATTGACAGCCTTAGAATTGCAAGGATGAATCTTTTGACAACAGAAAATGCTCAAGTTTTCTCTCATAAGGGACATTTCTTCAAACTAGGTCTGTGGAATGCTCTAAGTCTATGGCTTGATACTGTACCTCACAGATGTCCTTGAGATGTTTGATATAGACTCTCTCCGTGTTCATTATTTCTTGTATCACATTGGTTCTCATCTGATCCTTGTTTTCAGCAATTTTTTGGCGATGTTTGCTAGCATCTGCATGTTGCTCTTCATCCTGGATGCTACCACAATTTTCTCCAAGTTCTTCCTGATTAACTCGTAGCTGCATTCATAACAGAAAAGACAGCTAGAGTAGTGCAGCAAGGTATTACAAAAACAAATGTTAAAAATTATTACAAACTTTATTTAATTACAATAAAGGCAGCTCATAACTGATTATTAATTATTATTATATAACTGGTCCCCAGTCCTAATAAGGTCTATCATGTAACTCTTATGCAAATATTTCCACTGGCTACTAATGTAAAGGTTTCAGTAATGGGCCCACTCTTTCTTTCCGAGTACCCATATGGCCTTCAACACCATAATATCCGAAGGCCATCATATAAATGTTGCCTGTATTTTTTGTTAACAGAAGTGCAGATTTATTAGAGAGACCATGAGCAGTGGGCGCTCATTGCCAATACTCAAATAAGTAAATTGTGGCTTTATTTTTCATGTTAAATTCGGATGACACTGATCTGAAGTAATCAGTTACAGTCATTTCTTCTTTCCCCAATTGTCCTCCTTTCCCAAAGAATGGGGCACTCACACTCACACTGATATCTAAAGTTAAAAATACATTTTTCTGAAGTGAGAGTATCAGAAGTAGAACAGATGTTCCCACCTCCATCCCCCAAACTGCTGTGCTCTTTCTGTACATATTGAGCACTCTTGAGTGGTATTAGTGCTGGTTCCTTTACCTCCATGGGACATAGTCCAAATAATAATAATGATAAGCTGGGTCTCTGTCCTCATTTCTATTTGGATTTTGAAAGGGTTACCCAGGAGTAAGTGACAGTAATATGTGGCCAAGTAGATTGCAAATATTTGGGCCTGATTCTCTTTTTGCCCTGTCCCTTGTGTAGTCTTTTATGCCTGTGAAAAGTGGTCATAAGGTGTTACAATTTTGATTTGCAAATGCAAGGCAGTGGAGAATCAGGCACTTAATTTCAATTTAATATTGGTTTGGGGCATTCAGCATGAAACAAGGATATAAAGATATGAATGCTTAATCGAGAATAGCAACATTTAACAAAATAAAACAAACCATTGTTATATTGACATTTTACCAGGAAACTGATGTAAAGCTGCAATAATGCAGTGGTGAATCAGGCCCTGGTTGTAGAAAAGAAACAGACGTAGGTTACTAACCCTGACAAAGCTAGCTGGAAACCAGGCTTCCTTGTCTTCATTTCTTCCCCACCACCAGTCTTTGTTGGAAGCTTCAAGGACTCTGATGACGTCCCCAGCTTTAAAGCCTAGCTCTTGATCATCCATAGTCACGTGGTCCCACAGTGCCTCTGCATAGACCATGCTGCCATCACTTATCAGCTGAAATGGGGGAAAGGAGGGGGAGAGTTGGTGAAGGACAAACGCTCAGCAAAGACCAATCTGTTGACGGCTAGAAAACTAAACAAGCATAATCAAACAAAAAGGAGATAAATAAATACAACCTGTTTCAGGATGAGCTGAGTATTTTGAGAAATCTGTCCTTGTATAATTATCTGTCTGAGAAATTAGATAATGCAGCAAAAAGGTCTGGATCCCAGACTCCCAAGCTTGAGTACAGTTATATGAGGCATCACCACAATAACCAAAAGGTTAGACATACTGGAAAGTATCCTCCTCTTACCTCATTAATTGCTAGCTGTTCCCCTCCAGGCTGCAGGTATCTAGGGCTGGGTTGGCAGAGCTCCTCATAACTGTAATCCTCCTCACTACCATTGTCATCAACTAAGGCAGAAGATTCAGTTCCACCATCTGTAACAACTAAAACAATAGTGACAGGCTTGAAACAGAGTAATTTGGTTTAATCAAAACCTTCTCAGAAAAGCAAACATATAAAAAACATTTAATAAAAAATGTGAACATAAAACTGCCAATAGGCTAAGGCAAACCCCCTTAGAAAGTGCCTTTGCTCTTGAAAATATAACACCACCACATTTACTTAAGGAGTAATTTTCCTCTCATTTACACACTCATACAAATTGGGAATAACCCCACTGAAGCAAACAGAGCTACACAGAAGTAGACCTGGATGTAAACGATTAAAATTTTTGGGCCTGTGTCACAGGTAGGTAGATACAGTAGTTTCCTGCAGGGTCCCTGGTTCAGGGGAAAGAACTTAGGTCCAGATTTTAAAAGGTATTTAGGTGTTGTTGAGCTCAGGAGTCCAATGCCTAACTTATTTAGGAGCCTAAGTTAATTTTCAAACAGGGTTTAGGCACTTAGGAGCCTCAATCCCATTGACTGTCAAAAACAATTTAGGCTCATAAGTGCCTAAGTCTCTTTTGAGAATGACACTTAGGGTGTCTTCACTACCCGCCACTCGTTAAGACGCGATATATCGATCCCTGAACACGCTCACCGTCGACTCCGGAACTCCACCAGAGCGAGCGGCGGTAGCACAGTTGACGGGGGAGCCGTGGCCGTCCATCTGCGCCGTGTGGACCCCAGGTAATTCGATCCAAGATACTTCGACTTCAGCTACGCTATTTGCATAGCTGAAGTTGCGTATCTTAGATCGATCCTCTCCCCCTCCGCCCCCCCCGTGTAGACCAGCCCTTAGGCATTGCAATTCTGAGCACAGCAATGCCTAAATACCCTTAAAAATCTGGGCCATAATCTTTATATGACTCTTAGGCAGATGGTCAGAGGCAGCGGGCATAATAGGACAGGTTAGTCTCCCCTAACCCAGGCCATGGGCCCACCCATACTCCGCCCCGAAGCTCCACCCTTGCTCTCCCTTCCCCTGAAGCCAGAAGGGACTCAGCTCGGGCTGGCGGCCTGGCGAGCTCAGGAAGCTTGGCTGACCAGCAGTCGAGGGGTTGGGCCAGTGCTAGTGTTACCAACTATCTAATTGCAGAAAATCGAACACCCTTGCCCTGACCCCTGCCCCGCCCTGAGGCCACGCCTCTGCCCCACCCCTTCTCTGAGGCCCCGCCCCTGCTCACTCCATCTTCCCTCCCTCCGTTGCTCACTCTCCCCCACCCTTCCTCATTCGCTCATTTTCACTGGGCTGGGGCAGGGAGTGGGGTGCAGGGGGGGATGTGAGGGCTCTGTACTGTGAGGTGAGGCCGGGGATGAGGGGTTTGGGGTACAGGAGGGGGCTCAGGGCTGGGGCAGGGTGTTGGGGTGCGGGAGGGGATTGGGGCACATGCTCTGGGTAGCACTTACCTCAGCCAGATTCTGGAAGCAGCCAGCATGTCCCTCCGACTCCTAGGTGAAGGGGCGGCCATGGGGCTCTGAACACTGCCCATGCCTGCAGGCGCTGCCCCCTGCAGCTCCCATTGGCCACAGTTCCCAGCCAATGGGAGCTGTGGAGCCGGCACTCAGGGTAGGAGCAGCATGCAGAGCCCTGTGGCTGCCCCTTCACCTAGGAGCCAGAGGGACATGCTGGCCACTTCCGGGAGCCATGCAGAGCTGGGTAGGGAGCCTGCCAGCCCGCTGCACTGGCAGCACTGCCAACCATACTTTTAACGGCCTGGTCAGTGGTGCTGACCGGAGTCACAAGGGTCCCTTTTTGACTGGGTGTTCCGGTCGAAAACTGGACACCTGGCAACACTAGCCGGTGCTCGGACTGGCCTGGGGGTCAGGCCAGTACTTGGGCTGGCCGGTGGCCCGGGGGTCACGCCGGTGTTGGGCTGGCCGGTGGCCCTGGCAGCTGAGGCAGGAAGGCCAGTGCTCAGGCCGACCGGCGTGGCTAGGATGGGCTGCCCAGCAGCCACAAGATGCTAGGGTGGGTGGGCCGGGGCTTCTCTGGCCATGGTGCGGGTAGGGGTAGGCTCAGGGCTCCAGGGGGCAGGGATGGAAGGGGTGGAGCCGGGGTAGCCTCCCCGAAGGGGGGATTCATGCGCTGCCCTTGCAGATGGCCTGCAGTGTAATCCTGCATGGAGTAGGCTATGAAGGAGAAAAAAGCAGAGAGTAGAACTAGGCGGGAAATGGTTTTCCTATCCCATTAAAATTTTCAAGATTCAAAAAAAAATTCTCCATTCTGTGGTGGGATGAAATCAAGCGATTTTTAATTTTTTTGGTGAAGGCAGGCAGAAGAGATGGGGAGATTACGGCACTCACATGGAAGCTGGGAGAGTCAGGTTCAAGTCCCTGCTCTGCCAGATTTGGAAGAGGGACTTGAACCTGACTCTCCTACATCCCAGGTGAGTGATCTAACCAGCAGGCTATTGGCTATTCTAGGTTGGATTTCTCCCTCTCTAACTCTTGTTTTGACCAGAAATTCCACCTTGAAGCTGAAAAACCTCCCCAGCAAAACTTTTGTCAAAAATTATACATTTCCACAAAAAGGTTGTTTTGTTTGTTTGTTTTTTGACAAATCAGCATTTTTCGACAAAAAGCCAGCCAGCCAAAAAATTCCCAACCACCTCTACCAGAGAGGCTTGCCTTGCTTTTTGGATCGCACACAGATAGTCTGTACAGTGTAACCCATAGGTTTTCATGACAGTATAGATAGCCCTGTCTATATTAGTGCTTACACTTGCACCCTTGCAAGCATTTCCATTTATATGGATACTAATTTTTCAAGAGTAATCAAGGCCATAGGATGCAGAGATCAGTTAAAACATTTACCTTGTGGCTTTCTTTCTTTAGAAGGGCACAATTTTGCCCTTAGTCTTGACGTAAAACAACACAGTTATTCTACCCACCACAAAACATTTTAAAATACACATTCATATTAATGTCTCATAGAGCTAATCAAGGAGGCTGCAAAATTCCTATTAAAAAGTTGAGATCTCTCAGCCATAGGCTTACAAATCTGAAAACTAATAGAACTATATATTTTAAAAGTGGTATAATTTAAAACTCACTGACATTGTTTTCCCAAAAATCTGTAAATAAATAATATATACAAATCAGCTTCTAGCCTCAAATCTGAAGTGTTAAATTTCATCCCAGATCTCATTTTTACAGCCGCATTGCAATGTCAGTACTGACAATTGGTTTGTTGCAGCAAAGATAGTAGACATAAATACTCTAAAACATTTAACTAAAGATGAAAAAGGAGTGTAATTTTTGGGCTGGTAACTGCTCATGATTCCTTACCAGTCAAGAGGCTTCCATTGCCTTGGTAGCTAGATTTAAAAAACAAACAAACAAAACCAACAACCAATCACTTACTCTCTGTATCTATTCCTCTAACGTTTACCGGCAGGAGTAAATATTTTACGGATAGGGATGGGTATCCCTGGAGCTCTAATGGATTGCAATGTGAGCCTGATTCTGATCTCTATCCAGCTTTCCATTGGTGTAACTGTTGATTGCAGTGGAGTTTACATTATTTACAACAACATGAATGTGATCAGAATGAAGCCCAGGGACACTAACACTTGATAATTTTAAATCAGAAACATTACAGAGAATAAAAGAGTGAACCTTCTACTCACACATACCCATCTGAAGGCTCTCCAGACTCCAAAATCGTGCCATTTCCCCCCTGGCTACCATGCTGCTGTCAAAAACAACGTACAGAGTAGGGGCTTGGCCTTTAATAGGTGAAGCTTAGTCCTAAAAGATTCACAGAGAACCAGAAAGGCTTAGAGCCTTTGAGCTACTGAAAATTCAGAAACAGCTTATTCATTGCTTTGAGCTTCTGTATGTGCATATCAGGCTGGAGCCTACTTAGAAACTGACAGCGCACTCACTGTTCCGTATAGCTGTGGGTTTAGTGGATCAGTGACATCATGGGGTACCCTTAGGGAGGAAGTTACAGAAAAGAAAAAACCTGTATATACAGTGTTCATTGATAATGTACTTACAGTCTACTGCACTGTAGCTAATGACACTGCAATGAAGAATGTTTTTCAGTCCTGTCAGTGCCAGAGAGTGTATTTGCTACTTTTTATTAAAGCAGCTAAATGTGAATGAGAGTTTCAACCTAAATTCAAAGGATACATCTCTTTTACTCCAAGTCACAGGAAAAAGCTATTGGGAGTTGCAATTTCTTCTAGCCGTATGCAAAAATATGTCTTCCAATACTGCTTTGCATAACATTGTGCATTTATGATATTATTCCAAAATGTAATGTGTAGGTATAACTATACACCCAAAGGTATTTTTCACAGTTCTTATATGCTGCTGTTACTTCACAACTAAACTGTGATATATTTGTTTGGTTACAAGTGACTATCACTACATTATAACCCAAATTCTAAACAGCAGCCAATTGCTCTGAGGGGTGATGGGGCAGAGGAGGCGTTCCCTCACTCAGGCCACAGCCTCAGTGTAACTCTACCACAGGGGGTAGAGAAGGAAGGACACGAATAGCCACTTAGCCCTGTCTCCACTCATTCCATAGCCCACTTCAGCAATGACCCCACCAACCCTCTCATGTCAGAGCACAGGGGATGCTATGGAGATTAGCATCTATCATCCCAGCATTGTGCTCCCCTTTGCATAGGGGAATTGCATCGGTTCTAGAGGCAAGGGCAGGATTTGCCCCTACAGTCAAATCATGTACTCTTCAACAACCTGCATTTGTACTAATTTTTTGAAAACTGGTATAAAAAGAAAATCCTGAAATAATTTTAAAAGAAGTCATGGCGCTATATGTCTGTGGATGGGACTCAGAATTACTGATTCTCTATATGGAAACAACATCCTTTAGCTATGCCAGTCCTGTTACTAGGGGCTGGTTTCTCTAGTAATATGCTCAGAAAACCACCAAGGGACTTTGTGTACAGCATATCACAACACCCACAGAAATCACATGGTTTCCTATTGTACCATCTCAGGGAGAGAATGGAATTCCAAACTTA